ACGCCAACGTCGATTAAGTTGTCGCATGCCGTCGGCGAAAAATTCATGTGGTTTTCCTTCATCGTCATCTGCTTTTGATGGCACCTTGAGTTTGTCGACTCGTGTGTGGACGGGCGTTGTCGGGGTGCAAAATTGCATTTTTTTTCTGGGACGAACTCGTGACAGCCGTGCTCTAAGTTTTCTCATGGTCTCAATATATCGTTCAGAGTTGATAGTGGAGCCCTGTTCAAAAAATTCCATATGAATCAGATCATGGCAGTCCCAAAACACTGTCATAAGCACTTTCTTTGCAAATGAAACAACTTTGAACTTCTTGGGGCTAGGTGAGCCAGTGTGCCTGTATTCTTTCGATTGCCTTTTGTTCTCTGGGTCATAATGGTGTACCCAAGTCTCGTCTCCTGTGACTATACGGCGTAAGAAAGCTTCACCTTTATCGGTATAACGAGCCAGGAGTTCATCACTAACTTGACTTCGGTTCAATTTCAGCTCGGGTGACAACATGTGGGGAACCCACCGTGCACACACTTTCCTGTAACCCAATACATCCTGGATAATACACTGAGCACTCCCTACAGAAATTCTTGAACATTTCACTGACTTCTCTTACTTTGATCCGCCGGTTTGCTTGGATGATCACATTCAGTCTCTCCTGGTGTTGAACATCACTGGCAGAGTTGGGATGACCACATCGAGCTTGGTCATGCAAATCTGACTCTGACTCTGCTGGACTGGTCTCAGCGAACTCCTTTGCCCATCTTCGAACAGTGCTTACATCTACACATGTTTCACCATAGACAAGCTTCATTCAATGAATATCGATGGGTGCAGCTCCCTCTGCAGTAAGGAACTCAATAACAGCTCTTTGCTTTAAGCGCACTTTCATAGATTTGCTGGACGCCATTTTCTCGGCGACAATCTACCCTAGCTTCATTGATGTAAACAGCAATAGCATAAAGGTGTGACATCATAGTATAATTATGTTTTTTGGGGTTTGAGAGTATACATATTGAAAGTCAATTGTGTACAAATTTCATGAAGATATCTTGAATAGTTTAGAAGGTATTGGAGAGGAGGCAAAACTTTTTGAACGACCCTCGTAGTATTATAGTCTTCTTCCAATTCATAGAAGTAGAAGTGATGGGTTTAGATTTTGCAGAATTCCTGTATTTCGGATTCCTTCACTTTCATTTTTAAATTGTCCTTACAGACTAGACTGTCAATGGGAATTGCATAACGGTACTGAAGAAAGGTGGCATTGGTGGTCAAGTGGTTAGGCAGTTGGACCCGTAATCGAAAGATGGTGGGTTCGGGGGGTTAGAGGCTCACTCCGTCCAACTTTGTGTCTGTGAAAGACAAATTTTCCCACTCAGCCTCAATTAATCCTGACTGGCAGGGTCGAGGCAGCCCGTCTCCTAAATTACCTAATTTGTGTCAATGGGGCATGATGGATTAAAACTAATAAGTTCTACGCATGTATATCAATAAGATTAATCTCACTCGGAATGTGATGTTCACAGAAACGTACAGTGGCGTCGGTAGCCACCGGACCTGTAATCGTGAGATTGCAGGTTCGGGGATTCCAGCTTCAACTCGGTCCGATGTTGTGCCTTTACTTTGGGAAAGGCACTTTACATTTCCGATTTGTTGGGTCAGTCATTTCGGAGATGGATGTTACACTCAGGCGTCCTGCCTAATAATACTGTTGAAGGGGAGCTTTAAACTGATACCATTTCATTTTCCCAGAAATGTACGCATGTGTGATTTAGTGTGAAGACTAATACGTTTTGTTTTTAATACCGGTAAGTTGACCAGCTGTGATTGACTGGTGCTGATTGACTTAAAATTGAAAAACATAACAATTAGAAGCTCTTTGATTACTTTGAAGCGTTTTTGATTTTTAATATCCATCAGCAGTGGCTTTCCACATTTTCGTTGCATGTGTTACTGTTATACGTGTATTTTTCCACATTTATTTTTTTATCACCCGATGGTGTAACGGGCAGTCGCTTCGTTGAAGCATGTAGGAGACCCACGTTCTATTCTCCAATCGAAAGAATTTTTATCGAGTATCTCGATTTTTGTAGGCCTACTGGGATGTTGTATCGTTCTCAGTCCAGATTGGTCCTGACAAGCCCATCAGTGAAAGGAATATATATAGGCTACTTTGTTTTTTGTGTCTTTAAAAAAAACACCTCCGAAAAACGAACCCATGCATAAGAATAGAAACTAAGTATAAACTATTAAAGCTGTAAGAAGAGGGCAAAGAATTAATTGTTTTAATAATCGCTAAAGAGGTTGTAGAGAAACCTCGATACAATAACACACGTAACATTTTGTTCAAACAAACGTTCTTCTTCAACATACACATACATTCACACACACACACACACACACACACACACACACACAAACACAAACAAATAAACAAACACACTGAGAGACTAATAAGGATCACGGTACTCTGTCTCCTGTGGCTGCGTCAGTGGACGTTACCGCCATGTCGACGTGCATGGGATATTGAAACTCGAGGTCCTTCAATGGACTTTGCGAAGCAGTGTCTGAAATATGATGCCATAATGTCATTGATGACTGCATATTATTGTTCTTGATGCCTTGAGGAAGACTCGTAGTGCTGAAGACATAGACGTAAGCCTGGAGTCGAGGTTTCTGCACAAGACATCAATGCCACAGTCCAAGATGCCAGGTCTCCGAAATGGGTATCACGGTGCCATGTAATTCCCGCGATGTTTATGATGCGGACAGACGTAGAGATGAAAGGGGGGGGGGGGGGGGGGAAGAAACAGAACTCGAGACCGTCCTTCTCACCTATATTTTAGCTATTCGTCAACATAATGTCATAAAATACAACCCTGTTGTCAGAAAATCAATAAAAAAGTAATCGGGACCGAGCATCCTGGATTTCATGTGGTTAGAATATGCTAATGCGGGGAAAACCGAGTCGTTTATACTCATGGTATGTGGAACAAATCCTCATACTTAATACCATTTTACAACGTAGCACTATATTTGCAAAGCAAATAGAAATTTGACCGCAACTCGTGTTTTTACGGTATTAATTTACGACTGACATTTAGTTTACATGTATCGCCATGGGCGCCTTTTAATATTCAATTTCTGTACATACATAAATATATATAAAAATATATAAACCGAGCGCAAAGCCCCTCAATCAAATACAGTTTAAAACATAAGTTTAAAACAAACTCGACTCATGCTGTTGAGCTTGATTTCAACGATGAGCGTCAGCGTATCTCGGTCAGAATTATATTCAAACCATTCTGATATTTCTCTCACTACTTTCAGAAAATATCAAGCTACCTTCCCATCTATACAATGCACGTGAAACTGGGTGAAAACCTTGAAACTCGTTTATGGAATCTACCGACCCGAAGGAAACTTTTTGGGAACATTTTCTTCTGGTTGTAGGGCAGCTGTTACGAAG